AGCAAAATCCGCTGCTACGATGGTTTACTTCTTCAAACTGCATCCCACACGCACACACCTTGCAGCACGAATGGTATTCATTTTGGTTAGACGTCAGCCACTCGACCACCTGTGGCATGCCACAATTCGCCAGCTATTCATTACCGTTTGGACGCTGTGTGAACGTGTCTAATGAATGAACATAAATTTAAGCTACCCTAACACACTGGCTCATAAATCGAAGCTCCAAATGTTTGTGGATAGAAAGTTCACAGCCTCTAACATCTTCGCAACGGAAATGGTACAGAAAAAACTGGAGCGCAAACGATTTTGCTTACTATTTAATGGCAAACTAATGAGTTGTGTAATGTTCATTTACTACCTCTGCATTAATGCAAATCATGCAAGGGCAAGGCAAAAGGCTGCGCGGAAGCAGTGTCCGCAGGATGCATCAGACTAGCCCGAGCATTCTTTGAACTGCCATCAAATTATAATTTAATACACACTCATTATATGGCAGCTGAGAAGTGCATGTGCAAACAATTTCATGAATTGAATATTTGTACATACATGCACATTAGGGTGGTCAAAAAAAAAAATAATAATAAAGTCGAAATTTTAATACTCGCACCTCCTACGATTGCTATATACCGAAAATGTATACACATATTTTAAATTTTAAATCAAGAATCTAAAAATTGAGCTGCTTATTGCCTGAGTGCAAAAGCACGAAATATATCTGCAAAATAGTGCAAAGCTTCAGCAAAGAAGTAAAGAAAATTACAACATAGATTAATGTTTTGTTGCAAGTTACATATGTATGTACAGTTATTTATTTGGTTTAAAATAAATAATTGTATAAAAACTCGATTGTATTTTATTTCCTCATCTCTGCACATCGATATTCTTCAAAAGTAATTTCTACGCTTGAGAAAAACGTTGATATTTGATTATCGATCACATCAACTTGCCTTTTTTACTCTTGTATTGAATCCCAAATATTAAAAAAAAAGAAATCTCCGTTCTCAAAAAATTCCCATGTGGCAAAGCTATGCTTAATGTTTACATTTGGAGAAATGTCAAAAATCTGCTTGATAATCAAAAAATTGTAGTAATGAAACTACCTTCTTTTTTGTAGCATGGCTCCAGCAAAGAAAGTGAGTAAAAGTAATAAATAGAGAAGAACAATGGAATCTGGTATTTGAAAAGCTCCTCCATATGGTTGGACAAGAAACATTCACATGGTTGATATTCTGGAGAGCTACGAGTACCATAGTGTCCAAAAATATAAACAAACGATTCAAAGCTTTGTTGCACAAATATTTTTAAGAGCGTTGCCATCTATTTAAAAAGTGCAAATCAATTTAATTAACAATTGTAAAATTCCACGAGCTAAATCCTTTCATTTCATGACATCATTGCCATGTTCATATTTTAGGTACATACATATCCTTGTTGTTGCCAGCTCTTTACTGCATATACATATTAATATTATAACACCGGGGGTTACTCTTACTACCCAATATATAAATTTTTATATGGATTTCAAAGGAGAGAGGATAAGCAAAGTTTGTTGTATTATTTGTTTTGACGAGGCTTGCCACCTGTTCTCGCAAATTCAAAGTCATATTAATTAAAAAGTTAAATATTTTAAGTTGGCTGTCAAGCGAGCGCTGGCTGTAAACGCTTTATTTGGACTTGTTTATAAATTTGCAATGAATTTAATTAACAAATTCAATAAAATATTTTAACTTGGCTGTCAAATGAGAGTGATTTATGAACGCTTAAGCTGGAAAAAAATATTTTGACGTTGCCACTTGTTTATAAATCCACAATAAATTTAATTAACACATTCAATGAAATATTTTAATAAGAAGTTAAGAAAGGAGCAAAATATTTTCTAAGAGGCTTTACACATGTCCTAAAGGTTAGATGTAACTTAGTTAATTTGAATATGTATTACATCGAGATATCTTACACATCTTTTTTTTTAAGTATTTTAAAAGAGAGTTTTGAAATTTTCAAGCTTTTTCTTTATGTTAAATAAACTATATCTGACATCGATAATAAACTAAAATTATATTTATAAATATAAGTGAAGACCATCAACGAAAAAAATTGTTCGGCAAGTTTAGTGAAATGTACCATAAAATTCCCAGGAAAGGCAGTAATTGATTAAGGTTATCTTCTATCTGCTATCTGGGTAACGGTAGCAAAATTGTGGGCATAATTCTCTAGCATACCTTTGGTATAACAGATTGAGGTGCAGCTGTAAATTTGATAGCGTCAAGTTATAGCGCATATCACGCGGGGAGGACGATCGCGAGCAAAAGCTAGTCATGAACTAAAAACAAAAAACAAAAAAGCAATTGCAACCAAAACACTCTCTTAACTAGCACTTCACAATGGCAATGCACCGAATTGTAGCCTCTTGATGTGCCTTTTTTAGTGGTGCTAATCCGCAAATAAACTGCAGCTATTTTACACCTAAATGCCTCCCCTCTTTCGCCAAATTATATTTGCTTTGAGTGTCGTTGCCTAGTTGTGCAGTTGTAAAGAACTTAAAATTATCAAATTTACTTGAAAACACTCAAATATTTACAAGTGTTTTCGTTTCGCTTTTTGTTGCTGCACTTTGAGTGCTAATGCGCACAAAAATGGGGTCACCTTTGCATTATCAAATTTCCCCCGAAATGATTTATTTTGCAAATATGTGTAACTCTTAAATTATCAGAAACAAAACAAAAAGAGGCATTGAATGAAGGAAAACAACCGAATGCCAAACACATAAAATGGTGAAAAAAAAGAAAAAAAAATAATAATAACAAGACTAAAAATATATAAAATAAACCTTATCTTCAAGCGTTGATGTGTGGCCTGATTTCGACATGCAATACGACCGACAGTGCAGCGCCCAATCGCCGGGTTACGAAAAAAAAAAAAAAAAAAAACATTCAAACGACCAACATTCAACTGTCGCCACGCCGCGCCGCGCCGCGCCGCCCCGCCCATCCCACCGCACGTCATAGGCGTCGACAGCGCAAAAAACCGAAAGCAAGAAACAACAAACGACGAATTTTGTCATAAAAATTTCGCATTTGTCAGATAAGCGAAATTGGCGCAAACGAACTGGACGGACAGACTGAGGGATGCGGAGATGCGCGGAGAGTAGAGGGCGGCGGAGTGGAGCGCCGCAAGGGAGGTGGAAGCGGTTGGAGATACGTTGCAGTTGCGTGCATATATACATACATGTGTGTGTGTGTGTGTGTGTGTGTGTGAAATTAGAGGGTTCGCAAGTGTGGCGTGTGTGTGTGTGTGTGTGTGTGTGCGAGTGTAAATGTATGGCAGTGCGCCGCTGCAATTTCGTTTATAATTTACACAAAAGTGCAGTGCAAAAAAAAAACAAAAAAAACTAAAAAAAAAAAAAACAAACAACAACCAACCAATTAGACACAGCGCAGCTCGACAGCTGCATCAAACGTGGAAGATGAGTGGTCTGACTATGGCCCAGCGTGGCGGCGCGGAACAGACGGCAACTTGAAATTAGATACTCTCGAAAAAGCTACAAAAAACGCCAACCAGCAACAACAACANCCAACAACAACACCAGCCATGGTATGACAGCGCACAATAGCAAAATAGTTTGGACGGTTATTCTATGTAGAAAAAGATCGCTTGAAAGCAAAAACAACAAAAAATGACACGAAACATATAATCTCGCAAATATGGAAAATAATACAAAATATCGCTGCACAAAAATTGCATCGCGTGGCCAGCACATACACACACACACACGCGCACACACACTTATGTACATACATACGTACATGCCTACGCATGCACAGGCACAATTTGTGGAAATGCCGAAAAAGGCGTAGCAAAAGCGAGTTAAAATGGGCAAAAAAAAAAGTTCAGAAAAATGTGCATGAAAATGAGAAATATAAATGTGAATCGCTGCTGACAGACGTCAACGGAATGGCCGATTTGGTTGTCGCGCGCTAATGTTCGCCGATTTGTGCTATTTATTTCGAACTTTCTAGCCAAAGCAGCTTCACGCGCCATGCAATCATCTGCGTTGCGTTTTTTGTGGCTGCAGCAGAAAAAAAAATCGAATAATTATGCAGGCTGTTGTTAAATCTGTACATATCACTGTGCCCATTTAGGCACACATCTTCATATATGTATGTATGTATGTAAGAGTTAATTAGTTTGTGAAAGCATTGCTTCCATACGCTGCTTGTAAATGCGCTAATTGCCAATGTAAACCAAAAAATTTTAGAAGGCATTATGAAATAGTTTTAAAAATACGATTTCTAATACTTTACTTCAGTTAAGAAACCAAATAATAAATTATTAAACAACAGTTGAATTCGAATTCCCTAAAAAGGTAGCAACTCTGCTACATGCAGCTTAGCACCAAAGCGTTTTCGAGACCATTTCGATTGATACCTATATTGCACAATATTTGAAATCTTATCGGAATGGCTTAAAACTTTCGACCGGCGGTTTTCGGGGTCGGTGATTACGAATCTGAAGTAATATTTTAAAAATTCAAAATGACGGACACAATATGGCGGAAAATATTGTGAAAAGTAAGCGGATTGGCCGAAACTCGATGATTTTTGGGCTCACTGATTACGAGTTTGAAGTTAAATTTCAAAAAATCGAAATGACAAATCCGATACGGCAGGCATAAAAAATACGTCTGTAGTCAGTATTCATAAAATGAAGTTTCCGAAACCCAACAGGAGGAGGCTACACTACGAATTTAGACTTGACTTTTTTAATTTTTTTGGTATTTTCTTGCTTTTGTTTTTATTCTATAATATTTCTACCAATTACGAATGTAAACTTCACTTATTTTATATTTTGCATTTTTTATTTTTCTTTTTACCAATTACGAGTTCAGGCTTCAGTATTTTATCTCGTTTTGTATTTTCCAAAAATGTTTTTTTTGTATTTAATTGAATCTTTTTTGTATTTTATTTGTTTTTTTTTTCTTTATTAAGTTTTTATCTTTTAAGATTTTTTTTTAATTTCACTAAATTAAGGTGACTGAATGTCTCTCTCAAAAAAAGTGAATTTTTAAATTTCAGTTTTAAAATAAAGCATAAAATTAAAGTATGTATGAATGCTATATTCTTCCTCATCATCTCGGAAGATATCTCAGCAACTCGGAAAACTAAAATTTTTGAATTAACGATTAACACATAAAAAAAATCGATCCAAAATCGCTCATGCGGTTGCCTGCCAACTGTAGTTTGTATTGCCTGATATAAATTTTATCAGAGGAAATATTTTAACATTAAAAATTTTGCTTTAAAAATACAAAAATTCTTTACGAAAAGCGATGTTTAAACAAAATCTTGAGTTTCTTATTTAAAACATAAATTTACTCCAAATACTTCGCACTGGTTAGGTAGTGAAATATGTATTAAAATTGGCTGATATCATATACCGCACAAAAGAAGGATGGCACAAAACGAAAGCATGCAAATAAAAAATAGCACAAATATGTAAAAGTGCAAAAAATACTGCATCCGAATAGAGCGCATAAAATAGATATGACTGTTTTCACAATATTTTTAAAGTTTAAATATTTTTGTATTTTCATGCTATAACTGAAACTCTATACGTATATAAATAAACTTTAAAATTTATCCAAATTTAGAATAGTTTAACAAATGTTCATCAAAACTTCGAATGTTAATGTCTATATAGACATATTTTGGTACACAATTTCATAGAACCCATAAAATTTAAGCATATCTCGATAATATTAAAAAAATATTTTTAGCTGTGGGCCTTTGAATATTTTTCGTATGGAATGATTACATTTGTACATACTTACATGTTTGCATGTCTCTTTTCCACCGTACAAAGGTTCTTTCTTACATTTCGGGCCTTCAGCACTTCTAGTGGTGCAAGGCGCCATCTGACATTTCCTTTGGAAAGTTTGAAATTTTCTATTATAAATGCAATTGGAACTTTTTTGGCGTTTCAGTTATATTTATTAGTTATAGTCAGAATACATCGATACTGTGCGCTTAAAAGAAAGCGCATAAAAACTAATATTTTAGTATCCTCCCAATACAGTCTGACAGCGAAAATTTCCTTGCAAACGGCGAGCAGTTAAAGAAACATTCGATTGCTTCCTTAATGCCAGCTTTTTCCGGTTAAAGAACCATCCAATTGGTAAGAACTATACATATATAGCAACACTCATATAAAAGTTGGTAGAGTGGGGTGCGTATACGTAACCTCCGTGCCAAGGTCCGAGTACAACGACCAAAACTGTTAGGCATTGAATTCAAAGGCACTGTCTAAAAAGGCGGTGCAAAGCTGCGTCTAAGGGAGGTTAATACATATGTATGTAATTTAGAAGAAAACAAATATTCAACTTGCACACGCACCAGCATATTAGGGTGTCCGGTATTTACCATCTGTATGACACCCAAAAAGTTAGGAAAATTAAGTAGAATGCGTGGCGACTTCCCGTCAGCGTTTGTAGGGGAAATTGCCCTTTGTTGAATTTAATGAATTTTCTTGTGGTCCAAGCCAACTACGGAAATGCGTGTTGCATATTTTGCTAAGAAATTTCAGGGTATGTCAAAAAGTTAAAGGTCAGTATTGATAAAATTAATACTTAAAAAGTTATTTATAACCAAAGTTGAGATTATGTTCAATGCCATGCATTAGAAGGTAAAACTTTTCCCCGAGGAATTTTTGCTAACTGAACTGAGTTTTCTTGAGGGTATTCATATAAATGCGTAAGTACCCCGTATCCGTACGTTCTTTCATATTTTTTTATGTCAAAGTTCCAAAGTAGAGAGGCGTTAATTATTCGTTTTAACTTTTTATGTGCAGCCATTATCGAAATTTCGATTTAAAAAAAACGTTGCTTTTTTAAATGTCCATAACTTTGCAAAAAAGTGGCCAATCTGAACCAATTGATTTTTGCAATTTCTCATTTTTAAAACACTTTGTAATATAAACTCGGAAAAAAATTCAAAACCGTATTTGGATAAAATTCAAAAATTTGTAATACAAAATATTGATTTCCAAAAAAAACCCGTACTGATCGATCTTCTTGAATTATTATTTTTTAACTGTCACCCCAAGCCTAGTTGGCTAAATAATTGCAGTGGGCTATTCATTTTACCGTAATCAATTCCTTAAAGTTAGATGAAACGTTTAGATACTGGTACACGGCGTATGAGTAACATTTTTTTCTGCTCATATTTCATACAAAACAAAAAAAAAAACATTGTGGTGTTCACACGGTTTCACGGTTTACAGGTTGTCTGATTAAAAGGTATTATGCTATAGTGTATTTTGTTGTTGTAAACTAAATGAAAAATATTACCACTTAGCCAGATAACTGATAACCAGACAAGTGTGTATTTTTATTTTTAGATTGAGGCTGTTGGTTTGACGCAGTCAGAGTTCTTGGCGTTCAGATGGCACAATTTGCTAGTTTTACATCAGTTTAAAAATTCGAAAAAGTTTCCAGCTATCCAGTTATCGGGCTAGACTTCAAAATTGTGGAATTCAAACGATTTAACAAAAACTATTAGTACGCGTTTTTTGGAAATCAACATTTAAATTATTATTATTATATTTTCTAAAGGCTAAACTATTACTAAGAATACAAATGAACATACGTACATTAATACATATAAGCGAAACATGCGTGTATCGCTTGTGATGACAGGTAGCCAGAATATACAATGGCAGGGCACCGCTCGAGTGCTGGCGACGATATCGTCAACTAGCCACAACACTTTGATTTGGATGTTACAGACAAAAGAGGCAGAGGAAGCAGCAGCTCTAGCAAAATTGACACCACCACCGCCGAAGCTGACAACAACAACAACCAAAAATATAGCACCAAACAAATGTAGACATACCTAGTTACATGCATTAATATGTATGTATGTCAATATGTACGAAAATTAGCCAAAGCAGAAAGAAATCGATAATATTTGCGAACTGTTGAGCTGTTCTTGGTAAACAATTGAATAAACATTGACAGACTGGCATTCCTAGTCGATTCTTGTTTTTTCATAGTTTTTTTTTATTTAGTTTTGCCCAATAACAACAAAAAGCACATAATCGTACATACGTAGCTACGAAATGCAATTCCAGCAAAAATATCAAACGGCAAATTGTTGTGCCAGGCGCACTAAAATTTCAGCAATTGCAGCTGAGCGTCGGCGTACGGGGCGCTGCTGTCCTTGAGCTTATCACCTCACATGCGCACTCACACACTTGACGGCGCGCGCACACATACATAAATGGTACATAAAAAAAGCGACAAGCGCAATAAAGCAAACAAACAAGCAAAACAAAAATTAAAAAATTTATGAACTGACTGCATCGGCGGCAATGCAGCGTTGAGCGTCGAAAGAAACGACGAAAATGCATTGAAACCAATTTGCACAAATAGTCGAATTCAGAGTTCGCACAAATGCATATGCACATATACATACATATATGCACACATACAAAAACATACATATGCATGTACAAATATACATACATATTTATATAAATGCAATCGGCACTGCGCGCAACAGGCGTTTGTTGCCGGAGTAGCGTTCAGCGGCCGGCTACAGTCGTCGACAATCGAGCCGCCGTCAATTCTCAAAATTTCCATTTATTTATTTACAATTGAAACTGAATTGACGACGATTGGTTGGTGACGTTGCCTCTTGCTGTTGCTGTTGCTGTAGTTGTAGTTGTAGTTGTTGATGTTTGAGCAGCTTGCAAGCTGCCGGCAGCACCGCCAGATATAAGAAGCAGCCATTGTTGTGTGCCGTGTCTACCCGCCACCTTCTCTCGTTTCCTTTCAATTGAGAATGCATCTTTTTAAACTATCGAAAAGTTAAAATAAAATTAAAATTATTTTGCTCTTGTATGAATGTCACAATTGAACAACTAAGTACATACGCTTTCGCGTGCATAGGCTAACCCGCTTTATATTTTTACGTATTTACGTATTTTTCATAAACATTATTAACTTACAAGTATCATGTACATTAGGGTGGGACAATTTTTTTTTTACTAAATCGCATGGTATTTTCTAAATAATGCTGCAGAGAACTACTCAGAGAAAGTGTCGGAGTGGGAGTGGGTCGGAAATGGGAAATGGCCTGCGCATTTTTGTATGAAAATATTCCCTCTTCACGATATTAAATGTTTTCACCTTTCCTAAAACTTTGGCATATAAAATGTTTGCATTTTAGTGTCTTACATTTGCTTTATTAATTAATTTATTTAAAATTCTATTTGCTGTGAATGCGTTGTAGTTTTGTTTTACAACTTACAAAAAAAAAATTAACACTGTAATGTAAAAGTATCTATTTTTCAAAAAATGCGTAGCATTTTTGTATTTGATTGTATGAACAAAAATAAAATTAAATCATTTTTAAAAAGTAACTACATCTGTTTTGTGAATTTTAAGTTTAAAAGATTACCAAATTTTAAAATATAACGCTTTGAAATTTTTACCAAAGTTGGTTGATTTTTGTCTAATATTACACAAAGCTTGAAACATTTTTGTTAAAGAGTAAACTATGTATGTATATAAAAATAGCTTAAACTATATAACAAAAAAATAAATTAATTTAGTGTTTTTCCGGCTCGAGGTCAATTTTAAAAATCTTTTATGAAAACACAAGTTTTTTTTTCAAAACCATCAGTATACAAAAAATAAATTGTTAAAAAATTTTGCGTTTATAACTTTGACACGGGGTGTATTTTTACATGGTAAATATTTATGGTAAAATAATTAAAAATGTTATAAACTAATATGTAAGCATTTTTTATCTATTAGTTGTGACACAATGTGAACACTTTTTAAAACTGGCATAGACGAAAAATAAGTATTGGCAACTGTGATTTGTTGATGGCTACAATTCTACAATGGCTGAGTGGAAGATCGAACTATCTCGGCAGCCAGTTCGAAAACGCCCTATCTCATAAACCTTTTCTAGAACGCTCTACTTCAGAATTTTATTTAAAAATTACCCTATATCA